CCCTGTCGCTCTCACTTGTTGTCAGCTCTTTAGGGAAGTTGAAAAGGTGTGAGGAGGGAAATAAGTCCAAGTTTAGAAAAATGCCTTTAGGGGATGAAGGCAGGCCCAGACAAGTGTCTGTCTCTCAGAGGATAGTTAAGACGCCCAGACACTTTCATGATGGCTGATTGAAGACTGGCAAGCGCATAAGAGCACAAGAGAGTGTAGGAGAGAATAAGAGCCAAAAAAAAAAGGAGACAGGAGGGAGAAAAAGACAAGTCAGAGAGCGGGTGTAAGAGAGGGAGGCAGACGAAGGCCCTCTTTCGGAATCTCTAAGCCAGAGCTGTATGGCTCTTGGGGAGATGTGAGGCAGTTGTCAGGCCTGATGTAAATGAATCCTGAAGTGCTTCATCCTCCTTAGCTGCCACATGCCCTTTTGAAACACAGCAGATTCCCCTTTGTTAGGTTTCGCAAACACTTTCCCTCCATTTTTACTTTTCCTCATCCATCTGTAATTTTACCTTTGTCTTTTTAGCCAATGGAACCTCAGAGTTCTTTGTGAACATGGAAGGAAAAGGAGAAAGAATCTTCAGTGTTGATGACTAGTCTCATTTGGACTGTGTCCACTAAGTCCAGAGAAAAGGAAATTACTGCTTTAAACTCTACCTATCCTCTGAATTTTTCATAGAAGAGCTTGTGAGGGCTTTTAACTAAAGCACTTTAACTCTCACTGCATGGATTTTCAGGTTTATACTTTTAGATATGCACAGATAATTGTGTTCACAAGATTAATAACTGGGACATCTGGCAGTATATATTATACAGTAAATGTCAATTTAACTGAATCAATTCAATTGAATGTTTTGTACATCAATTTATTAACTCTATATGCCCTGTAAAAACCTTCTAATGTGCACCGTATACCCATAACAAAGCTATGTTACTTAAGCTGCTACTTAAGTTAAATCTTCCTTTAATAATTGCAATCACAATATTGAAAATATAACTAAATTAACTTTTTAAAATAATGTGAAAATAAGCTACAGTTTGGTAAATTTACACTTGTTCATTATTGCCATGGTATTTTTGGCTATTATGCTCTTCTTTACTGCAAATTCAAATTCGGTCACATTAAGATTAAAGCTGAAACTGGAAGGAAAGACCAGTTCAACAGGGTTTGGCCCTGGGCCAGTTGGGTACTGAGTCATAACCACCTGTAGTCCCTGCTGCCATTCATGGCTCCATTAGTGTCCTGCAAAATCACAACAGGCCCTCACAGCATTCATTGTTTTCATATTCCGTGTACATAACGCTACAGTTTGATGACTTTTGACATTCTGTGGCCAAGCTGATGTACTGTATCATCCCCTAGTTGGAGCACTGCAGGAGTTTCACATGGCCAATCTAATATTTTATATTTCCTCTTCAAAGAAAATGTTCATTATTTTGCTTTCTTTATTAATGTCCTTCAATTTTGCCCCTGGAGGTTTCTGGATTCTTAAGGAGTTTCAGGCACCCTTTGCCTATGAAAAACACATCAAGCTGGCAGTGTTACCACCTAAGCTTTTCTAAAAGCCCAAAGAAACCCTGAACGGAAAACCTTTAGTGACCTGTAGGCTGGCATTTTGGCTAAAATCTTCTCCATTTTCACAATCCTGCCAAGCTATGGCTCAGTACTACAAGTACTAGGGTACTACAAAGCTCGCTTTGTAGCTGAAGGCCACAGAACTAAGAGGAGATAGAGAAAATGTAAATAATAATCAGCCACCTCTCAAATTGTTACTGGCACCCATTTTGACAAACCTGTCACCTCATTTACATATGAAAGAAATGGGCTATATAACTGTACGATTTTTACAGCTGCATAGTGGAGTAAAATTAAATAACAATTAAATATAATATAAAGGTAATGATGTCACAACATATCCAGGGCCTCCTTTCCCCACACTGACATGGGTCCATCACATCTTTTATATAGACTCAGAGGTCAAGTGATATTCTGCTAACTCATACTGTGCTCTGTTTTTATAACCAGCAAAGGCCACAAAAAACAATATCATGTATTTTAGTTGCTTTTTAGAATTTCCAGACTACAAACCTGATCTGTAAAATTAAAATGGAGTACAAAGTGTTATTCGCATTTTAAAATCTTATACACATCAAAATTGTGGACAACCATCTTAAAACAACCATCTTAATTTTCTTGAATAATGAAAAAAATTTCAAGTGCCAAATTCTTAAAAAAGGCATTTGTACAAGTTGTGCAAGTATAAATTTAAGTACATTTTGCAAGTACAAAATGAGGGTCTGTATTACTTTGAGATTAAACTCTCAGCAGTACAAGTACTATAAGGTTACAGCTCCCTAATACACATCAAATTTATGTTTAGGTTGTTGAGGCATTACTTCAAAAACTCAGAGTAAAAAAATTCCCTAATCAGAAAGCAGATAGTCTAGCGTGTATGCTTGGTGTTTCAGACAAGCAGCTGCCACAACACACTTTCAGACTGACACATTTCAGTTCAGCAATTCACCTGAACATTCTTCATAATTCTTTTTATTCTAGACAGCTGGACATCTAAACATCTGACATGTTGCAGACAGTGTCAGGCTTAAATAGAACATTTTATTTACAGGAGGCAAAGGGCTACAGCTTTAAGAATCCCAGAGGTGACAGCTTGAGGTCAAAATAAATTAAAGGGACCTTAAAAATGTCTAATACTGGAAACCACTCCAGGATATATATATTTTACTGCTATGTGATTATTTTATTAACGGCTAAAGCAGTGGAAAGCTCCATGCAGGAGCTTAATGTTGTCTGTGTGTATGTGTGAGTGAAAATAAAAATTATGACTGACAAGTGGAGGAGATGCCCTTTGTCACTCTCCTGAAGACACCAGCTTTAACTCACTCCACTGTCCTCGTTTGACCTTTTTCACCGAGGATCCTGTTCTCCTGTCCCCAACATGGTCCACATCTACCCAGATCATCTCCCTCTGCAATGCCCTCTTCACTTTAACCCCTTTAGAATCAGAATCAGCTTTATTGGCCAGGTGTTTTGGACACACAAGGAATTTGACTCTGGTACAGCGGCTCTCAATGCATATGTAAGGCAACAGTGGGCAAGTAACCAATATAAGGCTGAGAACAAAAGCTATATTTAGAGGTATTGCAATATTGAGGCTTTATCCCTCCTTCCCACCCCCATCAAGTCTTTTCATTGACAAACTATATTAAAATGTTTATAGTTTTCTTTAGTAATGACAAAACTAACATGCCCAGAGTTTGTCTAAATCTAAAACCAGTTCCTAGCTGTTTTTCTCTTATCAGTCCCTTTTCTGTATTCTTTGAAGACATGGCACTTATTGCATGCTTGAACATCCTTTAAGAGGGAAGTTTTTTGTGCATGGTCAAAACTAGTGCCCTACATTGTACACACTGTAAAGGTATCTAAGAAAAACTAAAATCAACTTGGCTTAACTTATCATCTTCTTGTCTCTCTTCTTTTGCTGCTCTAAAAATGCAGATTCTTAGTTCCTGTTCTGCTACTTCCTCTCTCTCTCTACTTTCAGCTCTCTTGGACTCCGTTCCTCCAGCTTTTGTTTTCTTTTCTCAGACTTTCCCCTGTCGTGTTGCTGCTCTCATGCTTGTCTACTTTTCCTAACATATCTCCTCCTCTAATCCCTCACTCTCCATTTCTGCTGCCACACATCCCGCCTCACCAAGCTCTCCACACCCTGCCCCTCTTCTCTGGGGCTGTGTTGCCCTGTGCCTGACTGACATACCGCTCACTGATAACACACCTCATTCCACAGCCAGTGAAGCTGTCAGCTGGGGATGGGGGTGGGGTGAGGGCTTTTAGGAAGAAAGCGGTAGAAAAAAGAGTGAGAGAGAGAGAGTGCCAAATAAAAACAGATGATAAATGGAGGTTAGAGTGTAAGGTTTGGTGGATGAGAGAAAGACACTGGTGTTGACAGAAGAAAAGAGGGATACACAGGAAAGTGACATAGAGGG